ATAGCTTATATAGTAATAGTCTCTCTTAAGGAGAAAAGTTATACTAATAAGTAGTGTTTTCTCTCTCTTAGGCGTAAGCCTAGCCCCTCTTATAATAGTTACTATATAAGGTCGTAGTAAGTTATCGAATTCAGAGGAAGTATTAGCGGCGCGATACTTTATATAATACTTTTCGAGGTATATCCTTTATTAGTTAGGGTTACCGGCGGGGATCGACCTATTGGAATTAGATAAATTAACTAAGTATATCTTATCTGCCTTCCTCTTATAAAGGGTATTAACTTACGCGCGATAGGCGATATAGTTTCTCGATCGAAGGGTATTAGGTAGTCTTATCTTAGGGAATTCTAGCTCTAATATAATAAAGTCCGAAAAGGATATACGGTACTTAACTTTATTAAAATAGATAATATTAGCTATAGTCTTCTAGCGGTAATAAGGATCTGTTAGATATTAGATCTGTAAGGCACTAAGATAAGGAGAGATCTTTTTAGCTAAAAAACTATTTACCCTATAATTCGTCTCCCCTATATAATTCTTCTTCTCCTATCGCTATATTTTTGTATTTTTTTACTTTCTGTGTATTTTTATTATTTCTTCTTTAATAATTATTATATTTATAGTATTTAATAGTACTATTAAGTAAATAGTCTCGGTAGACTTAGCCGCTAAGACAGAGGTAGATATTAAGGCGGCTACTAAATACCTACTTAGGCTTTTAAATTAAAAGTCTTATATTCTTTAGGCTAGAGTTAGTCTTTATAGAAGGATCCCTTATTCCGTGGATAATACGCTTTAAAGCTAACGCGCTTCCTTCTGTCCTAGCTCGATATCGTGTAAATAACCCTCCTATTACCTTTCTCAGAGGTTTATAGTAATATATCTTTCGCCTATATCCTACTAAGTAGGAGATCGTTCATATAACTATCCCCGACTATAGTATACGACTTAGTCACGATATCACTAATATTAATCGGTAGATTCTTAATATAAGTACTAACTGCGAACTTACCGCTATCGATAGTATTGGAATATAGACCAATGCTACATAGAAAGATCTATCCTTATATTCAACATATAAGACCAGATGGTATTGATCACGTGACCAGATTTTTCTTCTATCAAAAATGATGTTTTGACCACTTCTGATTCTGGTCGCGGCCCTCCCCCGAACGATAGGCGGGACCATTTTCCTTAGGGGTAAAATGGTCCACCTTTAGGCATGCATAGCCTGATCCTGCGGGGGAGCTTTCGGGGTGGCTTAGACCGTCGATCCTTGACATCATTCTTTTCGCTTCTCTTCGGTTCCCTTCTTTGCCACCTTCATTATGTTGCTGCCTAGTGTTTGTACGTCATTTGTATGCTATTCTAGACGTTATTTCTAGGCTATCCTAGCCTATAAATACGTCCTTCTTGTCTAGCAGATAGAATCAAGTCAGTTCTACTTTCCTGAAGTCAGTTCTACTTTCCTGAAGTCAGTTCTACTTTCCTTAAGTCATTTTCCACTTTCCAAAGTCATCTCTACCTTCTTCCTTTGATCCTCAGGACTGTGGTTCTGCCTTCGTTTAGGCTATATCTGCTTATAGTCTATCCTACGACCTTTGACCTTCTACCTTTGTCTGGCACCGACTGACCTAGTCAGACTAAGGTTGATCCCACGGACTTAAGGGGCCACGATCTGCTTCGTGGTAGCTTTACCCTTATATCTCAACAGATAGGAATAAGCTTTAGTCTTAGCTTTAGCTATATCTACGCTTATATAGATTAGGCGATATCTCTGCGGATAATATTGACTAACGATCCAGTATCGATATACGCCTTAATTACTTATCCGCCGACGGAAACTATTATAAATAGGAGGTCTCTAGAGTATTTATAGGGAGAAGATATAGGCGAGGTATCTGCTATCTAGGTATTTTAGTAGCTCACTTTTATAGCTAGATCTTTTATATTAATAGGACTACCTATATCCTAATAATACTTAGTAATATCCCTTATAATTTAGTTAATCTTACCTTCTACTTCCTTCGAGAGAGAGATATCTACGAAGTTCGACTAAGTATATACTTACGAGAGTATCTTATTAATACGCTAGTTAATAATATCTATATTAATACCTTTACCTATTCTAGCGCGTATCTTCGGAGCAGACCTAGCGAGCTCACCGATTATAAGGGTAATCTCGGTTTCCTATATCTTTTATATTATAATATCCGAAAGCTAAGATCTTCGCTACGTAATATCTAGGTTAATAGGGCCGTGAACTCTTCTTAGAACCTAGCTATATAGCGGAGTAGCTTCTTACTAAGGCTATATAGTTTAAGTCTCTTTAGGCTATCTATCTTATATTATATTATTATTATTAGTATTAGTAATATATAGTTAGAATCTGCTAGTCTAGGAGTTCCTTATTCTAGTAATATCTTAGTCTTTACGGCGCTTTGCAGGATAGCCTTTAATAGCGTTAATAGTACTAAATAGGATAATTACTTCCTTATCCTCGCTTTCCTCGAGCTTCTCCTATATAGGCGCGATACTAAGAAGCGTAATAGTAATAAAGTAGATAGATATATTTAGATTCGTAAGATAAGTGGGAGCAGGAAGAGTGACATAAGCGATATTACTGCTTAGCTATATAGATACTCTATATAACTCCTGCTTCTTTTAGTTATTATATTACGCTTAGAAGGCTTCTTAGTTTAATTATCCTAGGATTATATATAGTCTCGGGCCTAGTTATTTAATAGTACCTAAAACTATCTAATTTATAATATTATAATATATAATACTACGGCCTTATATATCGCGGATAGATAGATATTAATTTAGTCGAGAGAAGTAAATATCTCTATATATTTAGTATTTTATTAGAGGATTAGCGCTAAGGCTATTTAAAGGGTTTTTTCTATTAGGCTTATACCGAATATTATTCCTTATATCTCGGCTAGCCTATAGCTTAAGAGTAAGTGCCTCTATTTATAATTATATTTCTCTGAGCTTCCTATCCTATTTATCCTAACGCTAGATCTAACTAGCGGTTAGTTAACGATTTTCCTAAGGCTTTATAATAGTAGTAGGCGACTACTATAAGGGATAAAGTTATTAGTCACGCTTAGGGTTACTCAGAGAAGATTTAATAGTTAAAAGAATTCTCTGAATATCGGTTTTCTCTCTAATATATAACCTAATTACTATATATACCTCCGAATAAGTAATTAGTGTCCCTCTCAGTAACTACTTATAAGTATATCTTCTAATAACCTTCTCCTTAAGCTATTACGGAAGTCCTTAGATAAAGAGACTTACCCTATCTATATCGCTAACCTCACCTTTTAAGTAGATACGGCCAGAGATATTATTGAACTTATTAAGATATAAGCGGATATTATCCTATATTATCCGCTTAACCTATATAAGGGATTAAAGGTATATCTTTATATACCTTTGCTACTTACTATTATTATTATAAAAGTGCTCTAAGAAAGCTTCCCTAAAGGTATCCTAGTCCTTTCTTAGCTAAGAGTCTTATCTCTTTACTTAAGACTTAGTGACCTTCGCGTAGTACTAAGGCAATATACCTATAATATCTTTATCGCTTTTAACGCTATATCTAAAATATATATCCTATAGCTTCTCTAGGAACTCAGAGATATTGGTCTTATTAAAGTATAGTGCTCCTAGGGATCCTAGAGCTAGTAATACAGAGAAATAAGGTACTTAAACTATATAAGAATAAGGTATAGCCTATACCCTACTAGGCGGTTCGGCTAAGGATAATAGTGGCTAGTGCTTATAATCCGTATTATCTATATAATTATTATCACTTAGGGTTAATTCGGATCTTTTTAGTATAGGTTTATAGTAATCTATAAAGGTTAGAATACCCTTAGAGTCCGATAGCTTAGGAGCTATCACACCTTACGTGCCGTACGCTATTACTTACTTATAAAAAAGAGATAGCTTTTTGGCCAAAAAGAAATACTAACTCTGTGCGCTTTACTTTTAATCGTATCTCTTTAATAATTCTTCTTCTTCTTCGCTTTTTCTTCTTATTAAGGCCGCTTTCTCTTCTTATAATTTATAATATAGAATTATTTATATTAATATTATCTGTGTGGTAGAGTGCTATAGCTATCGGATACCTAGGTACCCCTACTCGGCCACCGTATTTAATTAGATAGGCTATATCTTTAGTAGTATCTAAAGTACCGCCGTATCTCCTATATATTAGTCCGACAGTATTCCTCGTAGGAACTAGGTATATTTAGGAGAACATTATATCTCGGCTAGTCACTTATTTATTCGCACCGACTATATACCGTCGCAATCACTGGTAAATATGGTCTCCCGCTTAAGGTCTTAGACAGTCTTATAGCCTTCAGGGTTAAACGCGATCCCTACCCTTTAGGTGTGTGTTTCTTTGTATAGTGATATGCCTTAACAAAAGAGCCTTCCCGGGGACGCTAATATGAAATAGGAACGGCTCGATGGCTATCTGGCGATATAGACTGGATAACACACATATACACACTGCCTGTCTGGTGTAGAGGATACTGGATGAGGCCGTACTGATGCCCTGTTGCGGCCGTGCGGGATAATCTTAATACTATATTATAGATAGAAGAAATTGGGTGAATCCTGAATGAATTGGGTAGATGACTTGTCTCCCTCTAAGTGTGTCTAGAGATGTACTATGCACTGCAGACATTAAATCATGCCTGAGGCCACACATAGGCTCATTATGTCACCAATTCTCCCACTACAATATATAATTTCTTCGCGCCTTTCCTATTTCGGACGTATAAAATTAATAATTTAGCTTATTAAGATATTATTATTTATAGCTATTTTAGTATCTATTTCTATTCTTTCTTAATTGTATATTAATATCTACGAAATTTAAAGAAATCTCTGCATGATTGATTGAATCGGCGCCCATAGAACGCTGCGTCCCAGTCCCTCATTCCTTTTTTAAGACCATCAAGCCTGAGTGATATACGTTAGTATGGTACTAAAGTTAGGATTGAGTCATTCAGGCCAGAATACCAGTCAGTGCAGGCTGGCATGTAGCCAACCCGATAGAATGGAACGTTCTTTGGCACGAAGTCAGCCACAGGATGACTTATAAAAATATCTGCCCGGCGAATATGCTCCCAGCGATATTTCCAAATTTCACACTGGGGCTTCCGGGGACGGAAATTAGATCCCTTCGCAATTGGATATGGCTCCGATAGATGATTGGGCGATGCGGTTGGATGCTCTTCGCAATCGGAATGAGACCACGCATCTGAGCATCATCGATAATAATAACATCAGCACCGCCTTCGGAAGACCGGCTTAGAGGCCCGCCGCGCTGCAGCCAGTATCTTTCAGCGTTGTCTTGAATCCAGTCGGCCAATTGCTGCTGCCTGTCACCAGTCAACCGTTCATCAGGGGCAGACACCCCTTGTAGGATATTGTGATTCGTCTTCGTGATCCGAAAAACATCTGGGCGCGGCTTCGGTACATACCTATGTCGCTTAGTTTTATCGCACCTTGAGGAAAGGCCGTGCTTGATCCTACCACTTGATATCCACATCTACTTCATGTGCCAAGCGGACAGCCGCATGGCGCATGAGCGCAACACCACCACCCTGAGGCGTCGCGCTGAAGAAAGAAATCTTCACACCTCGGCGGTTTAAATCTGAGGCATAATGCTCAACCGCTGTCCATGTGTCGGGGCGAACGGTTCGCCGAAAAGAATCTCTATCAGCCAGCTGAATGTGATATCCGGAATCCACCTCGACTCTACCACGGAAGCCCACATGCACCAAGGGCAAATTGCTTGGTCCAAAAAACCTGTTGGGAATGAGACTGATATTTCGGAAGAGATAACATTCACTGAGAAAGTGTTGTACCTGATGCATTTTCTCGAAAGTGACTCGGCTTGCTCATCGATAGGTTTCCTCTCAAAATGTATGCGAGTCAATGTCTCAGGGATCGCGTTGAAATCAGATTCCTCGTCAAGGATAATGGGCACGATATCCAATTCCGTCCAAAGTTGCGGGCACAATCCAGGCATTCGATCATGCAAGAACCGTGAAATTGCCACTCCGAGAATCTTCTCCGAATGAAGGTCACTGTACCTCCTTAAGGCAGCTATGATTTGGGTACAGCTATGCGAGGTTGGTGCAGTGAAAGTGCTTTCAATAAAGTCGAGCAAGTATGTCTCGTCACGAAGAGCAATTGCGACGTGGCATTCAGATTCCGGCGAGATTTCAACTAAGATGCCGGCAAATATCGTCTTGTGATGGTTCATCAGCTAATGATTGCGAAGGCTTCGAAATTAGCATGCTTACCTTCGGAAGAGGCCCAGACCAACTATTCTTCAGATGAGGTACCAGGCGATTCTTTTGGTATTGCGAGGTACGGCGACCAAAGGTATGGGATTCTTGGAACATTATGTAGGCAATGGGTTATTTTCTACAATTTCCTCAGTGCATGAATTGGTCAACTTCTTAATCAATCAGCGACTGTTTGGTGCTACTTGTGCGACTATCCTTTCAGGCCAGGTTGATGACGTCAACGATGACTTCGGAAGGCCGTTGCAGGTAACGTGGTACAGTACCCCACTTTTCTCGACATGAGGTTTTGCCACTTCTTATCACCTCATGAGTATTTCAACCCACGAAGAGCCCGAGAATCTAGGAGAGCAAAATCAACGTATTTTGCATCTTATCATTGCATTTTCCTCTTGGTTCTGTTGCTCTACTTGACCGGTGAATCCTTGATATTCCATAGCTAGTATATGCTATTCCTGTTGCCTACCTACTAAAGATTTGACTCGCAGCCTTTGCACCACACGAGATGAACGTTTTCAACGAAAGACGGGGGCAGATCGCCCTTTACGCCTCTCCCATATCGGAAGAAGGCATAACAGTAGCATTACTACTTGAATATCTGCGGTATGGGCCTGAAATCCTTCATCGCTCGCTTTATCTGACATTGGCCTAATCCACTCTATACTAGGCAGCCGCACAGCATACACTTTGTTGATAGCGCCGAAGCGATAGATGATGCCGTGGCCAGGAAAACTAGCACATCTTTACCCGCCATCATAGACGTAACAGATACAGGATTCAAGAATATCGTGGATGGAGACCTCGTTACTAAGTATCTCCTTGATCGCTATGACGAGGATCGAGAATTATCTTACCCAGATGGGTCAAAGAAGGCCAGAGAGGTTGACGATTGGATCTCCTTCTTCAAGAGAACAGTGAACAACTCATATACACACGCTACCTCTTCTACTTCTTCTGGAGGAACGCCTGTCGTCAGAGACGTATTGAGGATATACCTGCATCTCGAGCAGCAGCTTCAAAAGACGGCGGGGCGATATGTTACCGGTAACAAATTGTAAGCCAATCTCGCACGCTTGATGACACTGGATCATGTAATTACTTACATGTGAACAGGACAATAGCCGACTTGGTGGCATTTCCCTTCACTGCGACCGCAGAATCGTTCGGGCTTGATCTAGAGCGCTTCCCTGAAGTCGCTGCATGGTATAACAGGTTGTTTAGCGAGCGTCCTGTGAGCAGGGTCATGGCTGCTTTTAAGTTGACTAGTTAACTTCGTGGGTTTCTTTGACACTTACTTTACTTCCTGTTCTTCGGCCTCGATACGATCAATTGGCCTTAGAGCTGGGGGTGACCTCTCATGAGATGGAGTCCGCGGGGCGGAAGATAAGGAGGGGCTTGAAGGGCTTGTCAGCTCCTATTCGGAGGCATTCTGGCGGGTGTTCACCATCGTTCCCTTAGGTAGTCGGGGGAGAAGGATTAGAACTGTTAAGGATAGGTTGGACTAGGTAAGGGACAAGATGATGAGGCACGACAACACCAATTGTATGACTGAATAAAACAACTGAACTAAACCTCGAGGAAGGAGCATAATCTGAATATATGCATCTTCCTTTTGTGTACCTGTGGGATCACGTGGCGCTCGCTTCCATGCAGGTTATCTGCAGGTAACCAGGGGGTTCTTCATCACGTCCCGATGTGGATGTTGAATAGCCTCATGTTGTAAATTGTACCGTAACACACATGAACTAGTGTTATGTAGTAAGTCTATAACTTTTATATTACTAGATATTTAGTGTAAGACACTATCTATTTAATACTCTTATAGTAGCACTTCTAGCCTATTATAGCTAAAGATTTTTAAAGATTTTTAAGATTTTTATGGAACTACTTAATTTATAGCTATAGTATAGTTTAGCGCAATATAAAATATATCTTACTGAGTAGGTGGTGCGTGATCTGCGAACTCCGTGGGCATAGTGCGTAGAGGCATCTCTGGCAGAGGATGAGGTTCTGCGACTGCTCCCAGACGATGCCATACTGTAACGGGCCAGAGCCCGATATTGATCACGTGTGTCACGTGAGAGTACTTAGATTCTCAGGGGGCCCTGTGTTTACTTTTCCTCAAGCTTTCGATAGACAGATTGTCGGCCACACCTAATTGAATTAAGTTCAGTTTGAGCCCTTCACACACACGCCTCAAACACGTCGTCGATGGACTTAGGGTTTGCCATCGCCAAAGACTAGGTTTGGGGGGCAGCGCCAAATGCCTCTCCACCAGACAGGACCAGGGGCAACCCCACATGGGCCACTGGAGACAGTCACCATATAATCCCTGGTGAAGGCACATGGTGAGACCAAGGGGAGGAGGAACGACTAACAGGGTACGCGACGTGCATAAGGATAGTGGTCTTTTTGTGGGGTGGGCCAATCAGGGGGTCGGAAAGCGGAAAACTTCCGGTCCGAGACGCGCATAGGGGGTTGGAGGGGGAATTTAATAGATTCCGCGACACGTATTACCACGTAGAATTCGAGATCTGCTGTAAAACACCGTTCGGAGTATGGAGACGGTCGCAGGTCGGTAGTGTGTAGGAATTTGAGCTTTAACAGCCGGACTTGGGCAATCTGTAAAGGAATACTAAGGACTAGCGGTGAAGGTTGCCCCGCAGTGGAATAAGCAAGTCTCGGACCTAATTCGTACTTAAATCGAGAGGGTTTCCAATTAATCTAGACTTAGTAAGAATCAGTCTTGCTTCTACAATACTACACCTAGTCCAGATATCCTTTCTTACCTAACTGATAGGCTTTCTATCCTAAATATATAGATCCTTTATAATTCTAATTCTTCTTTTATCGGTTACCTAAGGAATTATATCTATTAACGACCGTGTCCTCCGCTCCCGCGTCGCTACCGAAGGCGACGACACGCCTATATCGCACGAGGCTACTACTACGTCTTAGCGTAGAGACGCTACTGATTCGACCCCGGGACTAAACTAACCTAAGTTAATTTCTCCTAGCCCGCTATAATATAAATTACTTCTAGGGGACCTACGCGGATATTAAGCGACCTATAGAGAACTCCGAAACGATAGCTAAACTATCGAAGATAAAATCGAACGCCTTAATAAGAAAATCCGCCTCCTTAAATATATTCGGGAGCTTAAAGGGGACCGAACTATATTAGTTAATATTGGAATATAGACCAATGCTACATAGAAAGATCTATTCTTATATTCAACATATAAGATCAGGATTGCATTGATCACGTGACCAATTTGGGCCTTCTATCAAAATGATATTTTGACCACTTCTGATTCTGGTCCGCGGCCCTCACCCGAAAGATAGGCGGGACCATTTTCCTTCAGAGGTAAATGGTCCGCCTTCAGGCATGAATGGTCCGTTCCTTCGGAGGTGCTTTCGGGCATATCTTGCCCGCGGACTTCGACCATGGTCTTCGAACCTCGGTGAACAGACTTCGACCCTCAGTCCCCTCTCAGATAGGCGGACCATCCCTTAAGGATAAAATGGTCCACCTTTGGGTATGCATAACCTGATACTGCGGGGAAGCTTTCGGGGTGGCTGAAACCATCGATCCTTGACATCATTCTTTTGGCTTTTCTTCGGTTCCCTTCTTTGCCACCTTTATTATGTTGCTGCCTAGTATTTGTATGACATTCTAGACATCATTTCTAGGCTATTCTAGCCTAGAAATATGTCCTTCTTTTCTAGCAGAAAGAATCAAGTCAGTTCTACTTTCCAAAAAGTCATCTCTACATTCTTCCTTTGATCCTTAGGACTGTGGTTCTGCCTTCGTTTAGGCTATATCTGCTTATAGTCTATCCTACGACCTTTGACTTTCTACCTTTGTCTGGCACCGACTGACCCAGCCGGACTAAGGTTGATCCCACGGACATAAGGGGCCACGATCTGCCGATCTGCTTCGTGGTAGCTTTCCTCTTATCTCCCAACATTTATGTACGTATTATTAGAACCTTTAGGGTAGAACAGAGCGCTAAGCACCTCCTAGTAGCTAAAGCCGCCTTAAGTTATATTATATATCTCGCTATTTCTTACAATAATTATATATAAAAGCCCCGAGTATAAACGTAGGCTACTACGTTAGTTTGCGACTGCCGCCGTTCACGTCACTCTAGCTAATAAGATATATTTTATCCACGATAGTAATATAGCTTCAAAACCAGCTTATGCGCCCTATGAAGCTAATTGTGAATTTTCCCTGCGGCTCTTTTAGGTTTATGGTGGTTCTCCTATAATATCTCGTTAGACTGCGATATAGAATATAATATAGGAACCACTCGAAGGGAGGACTAACCCGGTAATTATTAGACCGCGGGTTAAGTGCCTTTATAGGGCATATCTCGTTCGGCGAGGGCGCTCCGGACCTTCTTATGCGGTCTTCCTCTATATTATATTCTTCTATAGCGAAGGGAAGTAAACCGCTATGCGAGGCGAGGTTCTCCTACTCGAAAGGTATAGGCCGGACGTTCGCTAATACTAGCTGCAGCTTATATATAAGGCTTTGCGCTCGTAAAACACTTCTTGGACTCGCCATCAAAGTGTCTAACGATACTAGCGCGTAGTAACTTAGACCGTAATTCAGATATAAGGTAGGCTACGGTGGAGGACGACAACCTTTTATAAGCTGTGAAAGAGTTCACCGTAGCCGATTCAAATTAAGAGCTAGTGGCGGCGAAAGGCTAGTAGTCTCCAATTCCTGCTAATTGTCTACTGTTATGACTAAGGGATATTACTCGAACTCTGGAATTATAACTCTTTCCACGGTCTTAATTAGGCTACAGTTAAACACAATAAGGGCAATAGACTGTTTTAGCCCTTACATAGCTATAGCTGATTTCGCTCTAGCTATATAGCACTAATCCCGTAACCCTCTATTTTACTGCGATATAGTTATACTTTCTACCTCTGTGGGTGGAAAAGCCTTATCTGTAGTCATATTTCCGTTTCTCTCAAAGTTGGGCGGCGCCTCTGCTCCGGTCTGATTGACTATTGAGTTAATTAACACTTCGACGGATTTCGGCTCTCCGTCACTCAGTGCCATTCTATGCTGTGCTAGAAGGTAATCCGTGACAGTCCTAAGCCTCCGATTGACATTATAGAGGAGCTCGGCCACCTTCACAGTTTCGTTAAGCTCGTTGCTTGTTTGCGCTAGCGACTGCCGTGCTGCGCCCAGATTATGCTCATGCTTTGCGATGATCTTTTCCGCTCGAACACACCGCGTATTGAGCGCCGCGATGGTGCGAAGTATTTCCTGAGCCCCGTTAGTTCATCTCGGAGTAGATCACAAACGAGGACCTTACCGAGACATCCATGTCGATGAAGTTCGGAGAGGGGGTCGGGGATCGATACAGTACGTCCCGAAACTGGTGCAACCACTACACTCTTCGATTGACTTTCCTGGCCCTTAAGCCAAGACACACTAGTCTATATTGGGAGTTCTTCCGACAGTTGCGTTGGTATTTCCTCGTACGTAGGTTACATACTAATTTTAGCCATGTATTAGCTTGTAAATTCAATACATGTGACACCTCTATGCCCCTCACCTGGAGCAGCTTTCCTCGGGAGGCACGCTTGACAATCAATCACAGTGGTCCAACTAAAGATGGCTCCAAACCTAGCTCCTTCCAAGTATGAGCTTATCTACGACATAATCCATAGTGGCGAATTATCTATAACTGAGATAGCAAAGGCCGCTAGTTATAACAAAAGCACCGTCTCGAGAATCTCTTCCAATATAAGAATATTTGGCAGCGTCAAAGCACCGCCAATTAAAGGCGGACGACCCCATAGTATCACTCCAGTCATACTCGAGGCTTTGTGCGACCATCTGATTGAAAAGCCTGCCTTATATCTCAGGAGAGATAGTGGTTTTTCTGTGGGACGAATTCGCTCTTTAAGCAACGAAATCTAGCGTCAGTCGCGCCCTTAAGTCTAAAGGCTGGTCAAAAAAGACTGCTCGGGTCAAGGCCCGAGAACGCAACCTTAACCATCGGGACGAATATCATTATTTTATCTCAGACTTTAAGTCTTACCACCTTGTCTATGTCGATGAATCTGGATATAATAAAAGGATAGGGTTCCGGCGAACGGGTTAGGCGCCCCTTAGTACCACACCGGTTCAAGTGTCGAAATTTCATCGTGATCGGCGCTACCAAATTCTGCCTGCGTATGCGCAAGACGGCATTGTTTTGTCTCGAGTGTTCCAGGGTTCAACTGATGCATCCGTCTTTGAGGATTTTATCGAGCAGCTTCTCCAGCACTATGGGAAATAGCCCGAGCCGAAGTCTGTGCTAGTGATGGATAACGCATCCTTTCATCACTCAGACAGAATTGAACAAATGTGCTCAGAAGCTGACGTAAAGCTGGTGTATTTGCCTCCATATTCTCCTGATTTGAATCCTATTGAGGAGTTTTTTGCTGAGCTCAAGGCCTTTATCCGGCGTAATTGGCAATCCTACGAAGAAAATCCAGAGCAAAGATTCGATAACTTCCTCGAATGGTGTGTTGATGTTGTTGGAGCGAGGGAGAAAAGCGCGGAGGGACATTTTCGACACGCTGGCCTAGCTATAGAGATATAGCGCTACTATGGCTCAACCACGGGCGTTATTGCGAACTACGTTGTATTTTAAACTCCGGCAATATTCAGAGATACAGTGCGTCCCGAAACTGGTGCGCCTACCTACACACTTCGCGAGATTCTCTAGCCCCACCCCCAAGATGCACTAGGCCATATTTAGAATAAAAGAATAAACCCGGAATATTAATATTACTCGATCAGTCTCAATACTGTAACTTACTCTTCGTAAGTGTACAGTCATGCTGACAGGCCCACTAAGTTCCATCGGCCAAATCATACGGAGCTTCTATCGGCCCGAATATAGACCCGGGACGAGTCACTTTATCACGAGACTAGATCTCATCCCTCTCCCTACCTAGTCAGACTCGAAGGGATTTAACTAGGACGCACTGTACTTCTGGGGAAGTGATGTGGAGATTTGCTTCCTGGTGTGTTTTAACTGTGGATGGTTGCCTTAGCGCCGTTGTGACGAGTTATATGCCAGCAATTGGCCTTGCTGCCCCAACCGCCTAATGAAGGCGCCTATCACACTGTGATGAGCTTCTATCACCGCAGTAGCGTCGTTCCCACCGGCCTGTCGCAGGTTCCCTCCCCCCCCTTCCTCCTCCCACTTTTCCATGCTTATCCCTCATGGGTTAATTTTGGAGCCCTGTGCTTAGTTTGATTTTCGTCCAAACCACCCAACATTAAGACTTGTCATATGACCCCGCTCTGATTACATTTAAAAAGTATAAAAACCGTAACGAATGTCTCTTCAATTTCCCAAGAATCACTCTTACATTTTTGAGCGTGATCACCCCATTTCACCTGGTCGATAGACTACCTAGCCTTCCCCGCAGATTTCTCCTTCCAGCATAGTATACGTCGGGCTGAAAGGCTGCCGCCGCAACAGTATCTATTGGACCCTTAAATCAATCCTGATCGCCAAACGCTCTGAACCGCTTCTCTAAATCACTTCTCTCAAACGCGGTTTTAATCGCCAGAATTCTATTAAGTACAGTACGCATACCATTTATCGCAGATCAGTGGCCTTCCAATTAATAACAGTATAGTTTCTACCTCCGTCATGACTTCTGATATCGACATGACCGTTCCTGTGGACGCGATCAGATGTTGCACCTGTGGTCAGGATAAAAAGGCTGTACATGCAGACTGTGGCGCTTGTTACTCCTGTTGTAATTGCTCGAAGAAGAAAGACTGAACGATCGGCCACCGGCTATCTGTCATACGGATCCTCTAGAATAAGACTCCACGGGCTCTCCTGGAATGGTATACAAAATCTACACCAGCGCACGAGGGATGATAGGAAGCAAGTAGCAGAATACGTATACATGAGATTCCTGTCTCGATATCTAGGAAATGAAATTTGCGATGGTTTGTAATCCACAGTCCCTAGTTGAAATAGTCTTTGAACTTAGGCTCCTTGCGAATCCAAGGGTTGCCGACGTCTTCGATACAAATGTAATCCTTTCAATGCACCGCATATCTCAACATCATCAGAATGGGTTGGAAGGCTATAGGCATCATACTCAAGCCACATATCTCTTGTTCTCGGAGATTCAGCATCTGCTAATGGTTTTCTGCAAAGTGTCCTGGTTAGCTAGATTTAAAAATCAAAGAAAGCGAACTTACTCATTGCCGTTGAAGACCTCAAAGCCGGTGGAAATAATGAGGGCAGGTCGAGCAAGATCGGCGATTATCTGCTTAACCGGGGCGGCAGCAAAGGCTGATATCACAATCGATTCTTCATCGATTTCCGCGAATCCTCCTGCACCGTGATGTCCAACAATTTTGAAGTCCTTCTTGGTCAGGATCTCTTCTGCAGCGCTTGTATACTCTGGGTCCTGGGCGTATAAAGGTATCGTTCCATTGCCGCAACAAATCTGAGCGATAGTAAGAGCCATCGAATGCTGGACCATGCAGCCCATCACGTTTTTCACTTCCGAAGTCCCATCCCAAGAGTCGTGCTGCTTCCTTAGCCATTCAGGGGCGGAGCGGCAGAAGTCACCGAGCCCAAAGCAAAGAACTTTCTTCACAATATTTGTACTGAGTAAGTCTTGTACCAAGGCTGCCAAGAGCTTGCAGGTTATGCTATTCTGCCACAAGGAGTCTTTTTCGTCAAAAACTTGTGAAGGCTGTGCTATAAGCTCCCGAAAGTCTCGTGCAGTCCGGTTGCTCCAATCTACCATGTAGGAGCAATGGTAGGTTTCGGTCGGGCCGTTGGGTTGCGCTTTCACAAGTTGCCAATATTCTTGGTACTTGACATGAGGTTTCCTTAGAGAACTTAGATTGTCGGCTGAAACTGGGTCAGAATGCCCACGTACCAGATAGGATTCTGTATTTGGAACATAGGATTAGATATTTGGACTATACTTCCATCAATTCGACGGACGGAGAATCGATCCATTGTATAAGATTGGCCCAATTGTCTCTCTATGTCTTTGAGATCCTCTCTCGTCCAAAGCTTGGTACCAGCACTGTACAGATCTGCGGCTCGTTGGCTCATGGTCCGCCAGTCTGAGCACCCATAGTCGAGAGACATGTGCTCGGGTGTTGCGAGCACACGATCTGGAGTTTGTGGCATTTCTCTCGTAGCGGCTAGTCGAGCAAGGAGGAGGAAAAAATCAGGTCGTGAGTTGCCTGGGAAAAAAGTCCAAAATTGTTTTGGATAGGGAGAGGTTCATTCATGTAAGAGAGTCAGTGAAGAACTGGGTAGGACTGGGTTTCAATGTTTGATGATTGACCATTCTCATCGATAGGTATCCATGTCGAAGACGGTGACAACTCTAGCTTTGAACGATGAAGAGAAGTTCGACTTATAAGCTCTAGTGCTAACGTAATCAACGGGCGAACCCACAGGCGAGCCGGCTGCCCAACCACAAATCGCATGCTGATGCGTGCCCATTATCTTCTGTCAGGATTGTGGATCCAGCTGATTCGGGCATTTATCCAGCGGTGAGGCCAACATTGGCCTCACCGCTGATCGCTTACCCCTCATATGGTGTGATTTCGGCTTTTTTGGCAAATACGCGGCCTTTTGTCCGCTCGTGTGCACTGTTTGCAGGTGTTCAGGGGCTATTTTAACAGAGCTTAGAGATAGAGAGAATAAAGCAGACTGGTAGAGTATAGGGTCGACTCGACAGAGCGAAGTCCTTTTCTACGAGACCCTTTGCTCCCCGTCACTCGCTCGTTGGCCCTTACCCCCTACTGCACGATAGATCCGCCATCCGCCCGGCTTCGCTTCTCGCTGTCCACCGTGCTATTGCGCTTATAATGAAACTGAGCGGCGCAGGCTAATATATCGAGAGGGTCCTTCGAGACATAAAAGAGTTGGATGTCCAAGAAGATGGGTCAACACCCTTGGGAACCCTCACGGGATTACGGCTTGGAGGGTGGCTGAACGCCCTTTCTGTGTATCAATATGATGTCAAACGCCGCTGCCATTTTTTGTTGGTGTGATGACCTTGACCTTCATAGGGCTTTCTTGTCACTATATTTATCAACATATTTATACAATCAATATCTTACATATTTATGAGTCAACCGCTGAGTTTCATTTGGAACATCGCTGAAGTAGTGTCATGACCACCATGAATGAACCCCGCATGGCGTGGGCCTCTGTTATGCATATCTCGTGATCTCGCTTAGTATAGCACAATGGATACGAAGCCTCGTAGCTAGTCGTCAGGGCGACCAGCGATTAGTCTGAATACACACCTCGCACCTAGTGCTATC